GAGATTACCTAGATGAGGTATTTATGGAACTACAGTGTTTATCAAAATTTCATGCTGATCTTTCTTCTCTCAAGAGATAGCTACAATACTATTTGCAAGGTACGGTATTGTCAAAGATAAAGCTATTGCATGGTGGACTAAGAAATCACCAGGTCCAATTGTTAAAAATAATGAGTTATTACCATTATTAATAGCATCTAACCATCCAGGCAACCAAAGATTTGCACCTGCAYTTAAAGCAGGGCTTTGATTAGAAGAAAGTAAAACATCAAATCCATAAAGTGTTTTTCCATGTGTAGCCTGTATCCATTGTGCAAAGACAGGTTCAATCAAAATTTGTCCAGTCTCTTTTCTGAAGGGCCCCCACGTGGAGCAGAGATGACTTTAGACTTCCAGTTTGTATGCGTGGGCCAAGAATATACAGTCTGGATTCCAATTCAGGTCTGTGCATCACGGTTATGGGTCACTAATTCTCTTTTTTCTCGTTTTTCATTTCTTACAAATAAGTGCAGTGGCCCTCAGGTCCTTTACTCACCACATGCACAAAAGACAAAACACATGGCGGCATATTATTCCACGTTCTAGCAGAAGATTCATTCTAATTTTGCACATTTGGTGAGTAGTGCAGCCAAGCCCTCAGAATCACGTAGAGAGACCAACAAGGCCTAGGTAAGTGAGCAACCCATAACTGCTGAAACACAAACCTGAATTTGAATCCTGAGTATATATTCGGCCAGCTCGTGCTTCACTTCATATTCACTGCCTGCCTCGATTTTGGTGGAGGGTCTGCGCTAAATTGCTGCAAGGACCCTTCAAATTACCTGCATGGGGCCTCAAATACGTGTGAAGAGGATCCGTTGCTCTCTCTGTGATACATGCTCAGTTGCACGATGTATATGGAGCCTAAGATCCACAAAGTGATGAAACGGACTCAAACGGACAATGCACATGCAGATACATCATACATATGAAAATACCACAATGTAGCGCAGCGAAAGACTCGAAGATGTGACCTGACCTATCAAAGACTGGCGCGACATCCCATCATGGGCATAAGGCCCAGGATCTGATTAACATTTTTACGACAGACATCGATTGGATATTTGGCAGGGAGACTATTTGTGGACTTCGCTAGTGCGATCTTGGTCTTCTCCCTCACCTCCATCTCCCATCTCTTCATCCGTGGTATCTCCCCCATGTGTGTGTGCAAAGAGGGACCTTTCTTCCATTTATGTGGTCCAACCTCTCTCTCTCTCTGTGAAGAAGACGAAAAGAAGTAGAAGAAAAGGAGGAGGAGAGATGGAGGGCGAGAGGAGAAGAAGAAAGGGATGCCGTCCTCCTCACACTATCTTACCTGCAGGTAACTGCCGCCATGTACTAATCGTCGCGTATCCTCTGTGCTGCAGGTGCCGAGCGCGAAGACCAGCTATAACGCCCAGGTAGGATCTCCGCCGACGCAGGTATGGCCTCCGCCTCACTCCCTACCTCTACCTCCAGCGTAGCGCTGCTCCAGCAAAATGTCGCCCAAGAAGTGAGCTACTCGAACTGTGCGTCTGACCAAGCGTGGCCCAGCTATAAGTAGCATTAGGCCTCGTGGGTGTGCATTTGTGTGCCTTGGTCCTCCTCCGTGTGCCTCGGGTCCTGGCCTCAAAACGGCCTGCCTGGGTCCCTACCGGACATCCACACCCTCCTTGCTGATTCAGCGGGGAGCGTCCACTACTGGATGAAAATGGACCTGACCCAACAAGGCCCACCTACGTTCGTACCAGGCCAGAAACATGGCCTTGTCCGAACAAACCGAAAGTCTGTTCGAACGAGCTGCGAGTTTGAAACGACGCCTGAACAAACAAAAATAGGACAGCAAATAAATAAATAAATAAATAAATGCTGCCTCACATCGAAACTTGCGGCCCTAAGGTCAGCCGTGGGCCTCCAAGGTGTGCGGCCTGGGGGCCCCCAGCAATCGTCGAGCCCCCAAAATGGCGCCAGTGTGCAGGCTCAGCATGTAAC